AAACATTCCTATCTAATTTGGAGTCTTTTCCCTATATTGTTGGGATTCACACAATTATATATGTTTAATATGGGATTCACCCAAAATATGCGCACGAAGAATTAAATACCACTATTCATAATGAACACATTAGATATTGCATCCACATGTATTTTCGATTTTACTTAAACGCACCTATATAATATTTATGTTAAAATTTTATATATGGACTAATAGGAATTAGGTAAACAACCATATGTGATAACACAGTTTTAAACACAAATATTAAAACATACATTGATAGAATCCTACTCAATTAAACATCTCTAAATAATCCTATTATCACGTGCCCTATTTGATAGCAATCTACAACCAAATATATATTTTTTTTTTGTTTCCTAAATTCAAGGTTCTATTACGAAAAAAGATTCGTAAATATATATATAAAAAAAACCGTGTTCACTAGTAATTATCATACTTTCCTACTAATGCGTGCCCTATATGATAGCAAATCTTAACTAATATTTATTTCGATTATCTTCCCTAATAAACGACTCTATTAAATATTTAATATATTATAACATAATCAATAATAGTTTTGTTAGACAAACTTATCCCCACATTATCTTTCCTATATATAAATATCTTTTCTTATAGTTAAGGATATATCTTTTCTTCTACTTGAACTACAGTGAACGGTACTAAACCTATGAACTTTTCAGGAAATACACCGAATCTATTCTTCAATTCATACAATTTATTTAAACTCTCTCCAATATTGTGCCTAATTCGTGTAACATATGCAGAATGAAGATACTCAAAGGAGACAGATCGAAAGACATCAACAACATACAATCGAACGACATCATAAAGGGAAGAAGTGAATCAAAAAGACAAGGTAACATTACTCGGAAGACATTTATTTTGTAATACTATATTATTTGGATTTACCTTGGATAAAAATGGAAGACAATTGGAAGAAGTTAGCAAACGAAAATCTACAGCCATAAAATATGGAATAATTGAATCAAATACATAAGTTAACAATGCAAAGCAATCTTATTTATCATAACTGAAAATTTTATGCTATGTCATTTTATTGTCTACCTTATGTTAATATCCTTGCACTGTATACAAATTAGTGATAATTCATATCTATTGAAAGTGTGTTTCTGCTCATATATCTTCCCAGTGTAAGTGTACTCTAAATTCTAATTAAAGATTTGTAAATAAGCATAAATGATAAAATTCAATGTATTTCTTTTGGTAATTCAACTTTTGTTTTTGGTGCTGTGAAAGTAGTTTTTCAAATTCAAAATTCCTAACCAGAACTGTAATGGATTATAGTAATAGATATGTGCATCTAATTGGTTATGATCTTATTATTACATATATGTGGTGTGAGTTGTTTTACCTCTGGTTGTGTTGACAGCTAATGATCAATGAATTGTTGCACTCAGAAGTCGTTGACAATATACATGCATAAATACCAATTGATAGATGATAGTTAGTATTGAAATGAAGTGAAATAGACTTAAAACAAACAGTCCTCTTAGAACACAACATCTATTAGTACCTTTTTTTCATTATGCGCAGAATCTTCACAAAATTGTCTTCTATTCATTCTTCACTCCTTCATCTGAATATCAAGACTTCCGTTTTAGAAAAAAGTATAAACAACAACAGATGTAAAGGATCAAAACAACATATAACAGTAATCTCAGATTTTACCTAACAGAAAAATTAAAAAAGAACAATCTTTTAAACCTCGAATTATACACTTCGAAAATCATATAACATGTATAAACTTGATTTGAATAAACAAAACTCTATTTCATATGAATCATATGAGATTGCTGAATTTGTTCAGTTTTTTATATCAATAAATATATATCGTTTGAAACAAACAAAAAACAACAGATTAGCAAAACTTATGCAGGTTTGCAAATCAATTTTTAAAATAAAAAAATCGATTTTCGTACAGAATACCAAACCGTTGACGATTTCAACTCAGATTAGAAATAATTAATGATTCAGATACATTCTTGAATCAGTTTCGTATTATATATGTATAAAAAAATCACGAATACAAAGTGAAAGACATCATAATAACATCTTAAATAACAGAAAATGAAAAAACAAAGCAAAAAACACTCAACCCCTTCGATCTACAACAGAATTTACAAGAGATAGACAATAGATGTGGATTTTAGAAAAAAATGAAAAAAAAAACAGAAAATCCCTAAATCATTCGATCTACAAAAAACATGTATGGGACGTGTTCCACAATAGAGGTGGATTTGTTTTTGATCATCGATCGAAATCATGTTGAAATAAAAAAAAAACGTAAAAAGGTTTGAAAACACCTAAATTACAAATTAATTAAAAATAAAATATTACAGAAGAATAAGAAACACACACATATCTGTTGATTTCGTTTTGATTTTTTATCGATCGAAAACAATATTTTAAAATCGAAAAAAAACACAAAAAATAAACAAATAAAAGCTTATACTGCCGACCAACATAAGCAATGACACAATATCATCGATCGAACATGAGTTTGTACTGATTAAACATAAAAAAGCCAAATCATTATTCAAGGTAAATGGAACGGTGAAGATAGAGCGGAGAGAAGAGATAAGATAGACAAAGCGACAATGAAAAAAAGGCACGATAACCCTACTTTTTCAGAAATGCGAGGTATTTGTAATTCGTATATGATATTTGCAGCCGTTAGATCGTAATAGAGAACTAGGACCGTCAGATTGAATCTTTAATCGGAATTGGGCCGGTTTTTAAACATGATACAGGCCCGGTTACAAATACCATATGATGCATTAAATTTTAAAAACTTGGGCTTCAACTTAATAGTCCCAACTTTAAATATAAAAGGTCCATTTAAATTGATGTGTATTTTAAAATGTATGTAATTGTATCCTAGATATATCAAGATTAGATTATTGTTTGTTTTTTAGATTAGTAAAATAATTACCATTAATTAACAATCATTTTTTATATTTAATTTATTATTTTATTTAATTTTAGTAATTTATTAGAATATCAAATACTTACAAAATTACTATTTATACACAATGTTAATCCAACAATTTATATCCTATTGTTTATTGTTCTTCATTTTTACAGGTTCTATGAGGTCACCTGCTGTAAACGGATCGTCTTTTACTGCTCAACGAAACAATAATCAATCGAACGGTTCTTCATATCAGTATCAAAGTTTGTTACATGGTTCCCAAAATTTACCATTATCTGATGTGACCAATGGTATTATGTAATTCAATTCATACTTTAATTGCATAAATATAATTTATTTAGTCTTTATCTTTATGCATTTAAAAAATATATTAAATTATTATGTTTACTTAGTACTTGGAAAAGGTCGTTCTTCCACACCGATGGTTAAGACTAACAAAGTTATTAACAAAGGTAACACGTATTTTAATTTTATATATGTATTATAATTAATTAATTCGTATTTTATTTAGTTAATATCGTACATTACAAATATTTAATTAATTTATTATTCACTTAATATGTGATAATAAATAGGTTATACAACATCACCACCGAGCCATTTATCATCTTTGATTCCTGAGCAAAGCTCGAGTGACCCGAGTTATGTGTCTTATAAGTATCAAAGTGCTTTGCATAGTCCTCATATCACGCCATTATCTGGTGTCACACATGATATGTTGCGTTGAACGTATTTAAATGTACTTTATTATTTTCTTTTTATGATTTAATTATTTTTTTTTTCTTATCTTTTGTTTAAGGTAGAGTTAAACCTCGGTTCTTCTTCTACCCAAACGCATCAAATCGCACATAATATTAAAAACAGTAAGTCATTTTTAGTATTATTTTATGATCATTATCATTTTTTAATGTAATAAAATTACTCAACATGACTTTTCTAGATGTACAAATAAATATCATGTTTATTTCAGGTCGTGCCATAAAACCTAATGACAGTTTGTCAAGAAATACTACACAAAAAACTGCCATAGACCTTTCAAGTGATGACGATGATGATGATCGTTCGGGAGTTATGCATAATATGCCCCCGAAACAATCAAACACAAGTAAGATTTATATCTTTCATTAACGGACAATTCTTTTATTTTTTATATTATTGTTTGTATAAATGATTAAATAAATTATTTCAAATGTACAGTTCGTCTTTCACGGAATTCCGTGCCTGCTGTTAATGAGAGTCGAAAGAGGTCATTGCCTATTCAGTTGAATGACGTAATCGATCTCACCGTGGATGATGATGTCCCCCTTCTAGTTCCCAAAAGAAAACGTGGTAGACCGAGAAAGATTGTTGGATCCACACCCGCCCAATCCGGTGTGTTTTATGTTAATATAACATTAACTTTTTTTTAGTCATTTGTTGTAATTTAATATATTTTTTTAAGTTTTAAATTTTGCAGAATATTGGGACATGGGTGATGCTGACTGTGAATTTATTTATTGTGGAGCTATGTTTTGGTATGTGGAGCGCAAGTCTTCTACAAAGGCAACAGATCCTACAGAATATAAAGGTTGTTGTATGAATGGGGCGATACAATTGCCTGCTCTCCATAATCCGCCTGCATATTTAAATGAGCTTTTACACAAAGATAGCTGCAATAGCAAACAATTTCAAGAGAATATCAAATCGTATAACAGTATGTTCGACTTTACTTCTATGGGTGGGAAGATTAATACAGCCATCAACAATGGTACTGGACCTCCGGTATTCACTCTACGCGGCCAAAACTATCATCTAATTGGTAGTCTACTTCCATCTGAAGGTTCAACTCCAAAATTTGTGCAGCTTTACATCTACGACACGGATAATGAATTATCCAATAGCATGAATGCATTCAGGTTAGTATTTTACGTAACATCTCATGAGGTTATTTAAAAGTTTCTCCTTTATAGTCTATATGCTGGTCAATATCTTTTGTCACCACGTATTTCTTGGTCTAATTATGATTTTAAATTTTTGCTTTTTATAGGAACTCTGATGGTATTTCTGATTTGCATGAGGAAATTGTTGCTCACTTGACATTAATGTTAGACAAGCACAATCAACTGGTTATGTCGTTTCGTATGGCTAGGGAAAGAATTCAACAGCACGACCAAAGTGATGTAAAGATTCGCCTAATTGGAATGAGTTACAGTGATGGTAGATGTTATAACTTGCCAACAAGTTCTGAAGTTGCTGCCTTGGTCGTTGGAAATTTTGATCAAGCAATGGGAGAAAGGGATATATTGGTGGAAACAAAAAGTGGACGCCTACAGAGAATCAATGAACTTAACGCTTCCTACTTGGCATTACAATATCCCCTTTTGTTGCCCTATGGCGAGGATGGGTACAGAGAAGACATCCCATTTTCTGATCTGAGAGAAGTAAAAGAAGATGGTCGAACAACTGTGAGTATCAGAGAATATTTTGGTTTTCGGATCCACGATAGTAATCACGAACCATCTACCATTCTTTCGGCCAGGAGACTCTTTCAACAGTTTATAGTTGATGCATATACCATGGTTGAATCATCGAGATTGAGATATATCTGTTGGAACCCATGAGGATCTCGATATGCACAAATCACGGACAAACATTCAACATAAACCTATGCGCAGCGGATCTAAAGATTTGATGTAGAAAACTTACAGCTTAAAATTTATGTAGATTTAGCTGGCCCGAACAGATGACC